TATATATACTGTGTATATACAGTATATGTGCTCTTTACCCACTTCTATAATTGATTAAATCTAACCTCAAGAGTACAAAGATACACAACAGATTCTAGTAAGTCATTGATGATTAAACCAAAATTAAACCAAAATGGAAAAGTTATGTGTAAAAGATTGAGTCCATTCTTACTGGTTTCATTTAGTTTATTAGGGAGAATAGCAGCCAGGTGCTGGTAACCAAATGTATTGATTAGTTGATCATTATCAGTGTGATGAACTTAATGATTTTTGTGTCTGTTTGCTGTTCTGGAGCACACAGGTGTGTGTTAACACAATGTCAATGTGGAAAGATGTCAACAATGGCTTTAGACTGTTGCTGTCCATCAGTTTGGGAAGTTTTAAATTCTTCAAGGAGAAAGATTATTCACAAGAGGGGAACCTTTAAGACAGCTGCTGTTTTCTGAAGAGAGGATAATCGCAGCATATTTACCCCAAGGTCAGACGAGAGAAAAACCAGACTCTACAGACCTCAGTTAAAAGGTTAGAGGTTAAAGTTCATGGCAGGACAGTTAGAAGAAAGACTTCTTTAGTAGAACTGCAAAGAGAAAGCCTCTTTTCTCTGAAAGGAATATGGCAGCACAACTTAGGTTTGTAAAGTTTCTTCTGAATGAACCATGAGACTTCCAGAGCTGTCTTTTAGACWGATGAGACCAAAGTATGTATATTTACCCATAATGCTCAGCACCAGGTTTGGCAGAAACTAAACAACAAATCAGCTGTAAGGTAGTGATGACCTGTGCATCTTACAATCATTTTGTCGACCATGAACTCTTCTGCAGTCCAAAGTATCCTAACAGTGTTGAGCAGCACAAATCTAAAAATTTGTTCCACTAGACCTAAAGCACTAACGCAAAAAAATTGGTCTCCTAAACCTAAAGCACTGATACTGAAAAATACAACCCATGGAACATTCCTCAGAGTCAACATGAGTCACATAATGCTATAATGCTCTCTAATGCCACATCATCAGCATTTTACAGCCTTGTGTGTGTCTGTGCACTTAACGCAAGTGACTCTTTGAAACCAACCTTTCACTCATGGTGGTAATTAAACAGTTGCTGAGTATCGCTAGCTTTGCTGCTCGTTGGTCATTTTTCCGTGTTTATGTTTCAGCTTCGGTCAGAAGTATGGATTATTTTGAATTAAAATGCTCAAAGGAGAAATGTTTCATTATTTTTGCTGGGACTGAGGCTGTCACCCAGTGATGTAGCTCCAACGCCTTGCTGCTACATGAGCACAGAGATTTGTGGGAATTGTCTCGTTTTGGCTATAAACTAAAACCATGAGTCAGGAGTGCAGTCAGTCAAGAGTACACAGCTTCTGAGAGAAACAGAATGTGATTCCAACCCATGAGGGTTTGCTGTCATGAGACAATATTTACTGTGTGCAGAATATTGTCAGTAAGTCACCTATAATGGGTAAGTGACACACATATGGACAAAATGAGTGACAGCTTTCACCCTCAGCCGTTAATGATAATGCTGATCAATAGATCAGTCACATGGAGGCAGGGCTTAAAAGCCTGAATTTTGCCTGAAACTCTCAGACTGAAGAAGTCTCTTGGAGGAGAGACGAAACGTTTCATTAGAGAAGAACCCGTCCAGAAGACCTATACTATTTTTTTCTTGCTGATCAATAGACCTCAGTTAGTGCCTCTAAATAGATTCCATAAATTTAGCAAGTGCTAATTCACTAATGAATTWGAATATTGGCAAAAGCCCAAAGTACTAATAAGGAAATCATTTTGTCTATTAGTGCTTTAGGGGGACTGTGCCCACCACTGTATCCTAGATTCAAATATGAGGCTAACGTAAGAGACTAATAAAGTCCTTCTGAAACAAACTACTGAAATTTAWTGCTGCTAAAACTGGTTCTACAAGCTGCTGGATTCACTGCCTTTATTTTTGTTTAATAAATAATGACATAGTGGAATCTGTTGTACACTTGTGGTTTGATATGATCATTACAGAGTGTTGTAAAGCTCAGATTATTTTTATTGTGCTCRGATATGTGCATAAAACCCCAGAACTGAGGGACGGACTTCCTTTTCCCCGTGCCTGTAAGACAGAAAACTTTKAAATCTTTGCTGAAGCCATAACCTTATGGAAGAAAACAATGGCTTCACCTTCTGACACATAAAATTAGAAAGACATAGCRCTGCCATTAGGTTATGTGGGGTACAATCAATAGAGGCCTTTAGCTGTCGCAGCAGGTATTTACTGCCATTGTTAATACAGTTCAGCAGTTCTTTCAAGTTACAGAGTTTGTCCAGGGTCGTTGGGAACGCTCTCGTCTCTGCTGCTGGTTCACTTCTCACTCCTTTGTGATTGGTGAGCCATGATCAGGTGTCACTAATCTGCGAGGCGCGGCTAGGTGTGTATGTGCGTGCGTGTTTTTCACTTTGCCCTCCCAGTGAAAAGACTCTCACCTTTCCTTTAACTGATCTAATTTCAGCAGAACAAACGGAGCCTTAGAGAGGATAGAGATAGTGGTAATTGTCCCTTGAGAGGAGACAAGGAAAAGTAAGGAACCAAAAAAAAACACATAGGCGGTGATACAGAGGTAGGTGAGGGAGTAAAAAGAACAGAAAAGGAGAGGGAAAAGATGACAGCTCAGAGAAGTGACAGCTCGAGAAGCGAGACGAACAGACTGCGAGTTCCCCAGGGCTGTGGAAAAGCCTCCATCTCACTCTCAGCCCTCGTGCCATTTTCCCATTAACAAAAGGTTCCGAATCAACATTCCACAGAAAATAAAAATAGGAGATGTAACGCTGATCCAGCTATCTGGCGGCTCCAAAGCAAGACACTAAGTCATTTTAACTGCAATCAGGGCCATCTCAAATAGCAGCATAATGGTGTTTCATTAACAGGGTCTTTTTTTTTTCCAAAAGCAGGATGAGCCACAGTAGGTAGCAGTGGAAGTGAAGAATGGCGTTGTTAATGTCTATGTCCTGACATTAAGGAGCACATTGGCTCATCATKGCTATTGTCTTTAGATTTCATTATCTCTCCATATTAAAGGTCACCACTGGAAGTGCTATAGCAATGTGGGGATAGTGAAGATTGAATGGATTGAAAGAAGTCTGTCTGTGTTAATAATGTTGAAATTTGTCTTTTTTTTATTCAATTAATTAGGCAGTCTTGTAAGGGTAGCGTGAAGGCCAATGTTACAGGCTTYGTAGCGTTTGTCATTGACATGCTAATGGATTTTTAGAGAACAACACACAGTTTCTGCATTTCTAACTGAAATCCTCACCTCCACCCCACCCCCCCACCACCCCCGAAGGGCCCCTGACAAGCCGGCAAATCTTCCGCTTCAGTGAAGAAGGCTTGGTCAACGCCAGGTTTGACTACAGCTACAACAACTTCCGAGTCACCAGCATGCAGGCTGTCATCAACGAGACCCCTCTGCCCATCGATCTGTACCGTTACGTGGACGTGTCCGGACGGGTCGAGCAGTTTGGCAAGTTCAGCGTCATCTTCTAYGACCTCAACCAGGTAAGGAGCACAGGTGAAAGCAACAGCGATAACTCTGTTGCTCCAAACTGAGGTTCTTTTAAATAGAGGTACAACAGGTAAGATTTTAATTCTTCMTAGTTAGAAGCCCACTTCAGTGGATTTAAGATGTGGCTTTAATACATAACAAACAAAAAAATACTCTAGTGATTACTATTTTATTAATACCTGGAGGTCAGCCCACTGTTTAATTTAAAATTCATTCATGGCCACGAACACAAGGATTATTTTTATCAGACTCCACAGATCCTCCAAGCTCAGTGAATGGGTGCATTTTAGCACCTTTAGCTCATTGTTTTGGCTTTATGAGCCCTTGGTGCAAGTTCACTGGCTTAAATAACTTTCCAATCATGGGCTGGTGGCTGCAATTAAAAGAAAGATTTTTTTTACCCAGGCAAATATACAGACTCCAAAAAGCTATTTTTTGTAGTTAATTTATAAGCAATACCAATTCACAACAAAACTAACAAAAATAGTAGGCACCTTATGCTGATATCCCAATAAATATAGTTSAGTTCAGTGTAAATTGGTGATTAGATGTGGTCAGAAGATCAGGAGCTGTGTCTAAATGACTCAGAGTCATCAGTCCATAACTGTAAAGTTCATCAAACAACAAAGTTTTATTCCTAACTTGTAAATTTTAAATTGTTTACCTCCTGAACCCAAACTGAAAGCTGGAGGCTTTTATTTARTCCTTAAGGAATATGTTTGTAACAAGAAAGATTTTAAAAGTTTTTGTTGTTACATTCTAAAGTTTTCACACCTTTCTGTTTGTCTTAGGTGATCACCACCCATCTGATGAAGCACACCAAGGTATTCAACTCCTACGGTCAGGTGGTGGAGGTCCAGTATGAGATCCTAAAGTCCATCGCCTACTGGATGACCATTCAGTATGACTCAGCGGGGCGCACCACTACCTGTGACATCAGGGTAGGCGTGGACAGCAATGTGACGCGCTACACGTACGAGTACGACGCAGACAGTCAGCTGCAGAGCGCCTCGGTCAATGAGCGTCCTCAGTGGCGCTACAGTTACGACCTCAATGGGAACATTAACCTGCACAGCCTCGGGACAAGCACCAGGTGAGAATTTGATGTTTTAATCCAGTTACAGCTGGAAGTGGGTTGAGGGTTGAGTATTGGCGTCATATGATACTGTATATGGTAAATGGACTGTACTTCTATAACGCCTTTCTATCCATCCAAGACACTCAAAGCGCTYCACACTGCAGACATTCACCCATGCACACACACATTCACACACTGACGATGGCAAACTACAGTTGTAGCCACAGCTGCCCTGGGGTGCACTGACAGAGGTGAGGCTGCCATACACAGGCGCCACCGGACCCTCTGACCAC